AAATGCTAAGATTAAGTATTCTTTTATAACTGTAGATCTTAATTTCAGAATTTCCTCACGGTAACTCTAGTAGGCCAATTCTGTAAATACTAGGACCCAATTCTACACATTTAAGGATGTACATACATGTGAGTGAGTAACCTCACTGACCACTCTCATAAGTGAAGTTAAGGGCACCCTTAAGTGTTTGCAAGATTTGGGCCCCATTCTAGATAAGGCATTTGGCTGGACACTCTAAGAATTGCTCTATAGTTTGACACAGACAAAATCTGATCTGTACACATTCTGAAATATTTTGTTCAAATGTGTATAGTAAACCTATATCCTTCTGCAGACAAATTTCTGTACTGATGTAGAAACAATGGTGCTTGTTTTTTGTGGGGGTTTTTTAAATACTTTTGCTCTCCATTTAAAAAGAATTCCCAAAAATGTCAAACCTGGGTACCTGAAGTTAGTCTTAAATTCTTCTACCTAACTAGAAGTAGCTTGAATTAGGATCCAAAGTGTGGGTTTTAAGACCCTAACTTTAGAGTAGGCTTGAAAAATTTTATCCAGTGTTATAAATGTAGTTTCACAAATGATAAATATCTTTAGGCCATATAAAATTAATCTTGTATTCATCAGTCAGAAATTACCAATTGCCATTTCTAGTGTGAATTTTTAGGTGGTTATTTTTTGTTTTGTTTTTAAAACACTTCCATGGAAGTTTTGCACTGACGTTTCACAATTTCCAACTTCTTGATTGCTTTTTCTTTGTATTCTATATTTTCTTGGCAATTGGTCCTACTTACACTAAAAATTTCACAAACTGTATTAAGTTGCTTTATTCTTCAACATAAGCTTTTTGTACATCTTGCACATCACAGATTAAAAGAATTCCCTATCATCCAAACTTGATTGCTCTAGTTAACAATGAATGGCACAGTTTATTTATAAACAAAACAAGAATTATATTTAAAAATGTAAACATTTTAAAACTAGATGGAAGTGTTAAATTAGAACTCATGCTAAATTAAGAGAACATTAAAAATTTAACAGAAAGCCACTGATCTAAATGAAATCCACCATGTATTTTGAATTAAGTTAAATACAGCTTGATGTTCACATGTAATGCTTAAAAATTCACTTTTGCTAAACTAAGATGCTTGGAATCAAGACTGCATTCTTCTCAGTTGAGCACTGCTGGAGTCAGTGGTTATGTTAAAGCTAAATGTTGGTGCTATAAATTCTCAGTTGTTTACAGAAATTACTGATTCTGCTTATACTCCAAAGTGTGCATGAGCTATTTTAATTGGTACTCCTTTTAAGAAACAAACAAACAAAAAACTATACAAAATTTATTACCACCTAGCATAAATGTATTTGTACTGGTTAATGTAAATTACACTCCATTTACCATTCATTCAGATGGGGATGGTTTGGAATTCAGACCAAGGTATACTCAACAGAAATAGTTTTAAACATTGAATGTTTGAATTCAGCCTACCTGACAGCTTGGTGACATTGTGGTTGTGAATCAAGGACCCCAGATTATTATAGAAGCTGTGGTTTTTTGCTGCCCAAACTAAATACCTTTAAATGCTTTCCAGAAATGGAGGGTTTGGGCTGGTGTGAGGAAAAGTGACTTCTTGCTACTCAGGCCTCCCAAGACAAGAGAGAGATGTCATGGTCTTCTTGAACCTCCAAAACTGTATTTCTAGAAGAAGAATGTCTCTAGGTTTTGAAACTCCTTAAAATTATGACTGGACACAATATGGTGAAAGAAGATCCCCATACTCCAGGTGTCAGGGAGAGGGAAACAGGCATACCACAAAATTTGTTTGCATTTATGTTGTCTTTATTTCACTACTTTTGTGAACAAAGCACATGTATTAAAAAAAAAAATTAAAAGCCTTTTGTAAAGTGTTTTGTTTCAGTGGAACTGTTGTCTTTTCTTGCAAGCTGTTTATATTTAGATTGTCATTAGTGTACATTACCACAAAATTGTTATAATTACTTATAAAACACTTTGGAGAGGAGTATTGAGTAACAATATTTTATAAAGCAAGAAATAGTAACTAAAATGCAAAATTTGGTACCTCTAATTTTTTTTATAATTTTGTTTCATAGTTAACAGAAACAAACATAATTCACTTCCTTTGCCTTCCTGTCTGCTACATACCTCCCCTTGGTTTCTCCCTTCCAATCTGTTCCTCACTGTAGACCAGAACACATTCTGCTTTCCTCCACCACTGTGCCCCTTTTACAGAGCACAACCTTGCAGCACCCACAATAGGTGTTTCCTCTCAGCCATTATCAATCACAGAGGCACTGCTGAGATGTTTTCTACTGCAGCTAACAGTGCAGAAGGGAAAGAATGACAGTGAAGAAAGCAGAATGTAGACACAGAAGATTGAAAATGCAGGATTCCAAGGCCATTTTAGGAGAAATCTAATGAGTCTTATCTCAGTTAATACAATGGACTCCACTTGAGTTTATTTTTCTGTGGAGTTTTAGCAATTCTCAAGCTAAAAGGTGCATAGAAAATGTTTTGACTGTACATCTCCTTTCTCATACCCACTTGGAAATAGGCTCCCATAATCCACTGGAAGGGAATAAACTGTAAGCATTGGATGCATTGTTGGGTTTTTGATTTTTTTTGAAGTTTAGAAGGAAGAATTATGAGAGCTGCTAATACTGCTTTATCCAAGCATAATACATAGCTGAAGTACAAACCAACTTCTAGTGATGTCATTTAAGAATCCATATGAAAGCAAATGCTATTCCCACCCTGCTAACCTGTAACTGGGTTTTCCTTCACTATTAAACAGCAGCAAATGTTCTTTGGCAGCTCTTAATGTTACTCCCTGCAAGAAACTTTCCATGCTTTTCTCCCTATCTGAAAGAGGGACTTAAACCTTTTCAAATAAATCTCCAGTTGCAACTGTTAAACAGACCTCGTGGGTCTTATCTGCATGAATCAGCAGAATAGCTCTTTATTATAGGGGCCTCGTACACAACTTGTTTTAAGTTCTGGAGATCAAATCACTCCAAAGTATGTATCTAAATCAGTGGTTCTCAAACTATTGTACTGGTGACCCCTTTCACATACCAAGCCTCTGAATGTGACCCCCCCCCCTTGTAAATGAAAAACACTTATTTATAATGGTATATATAAACGCTGGAGGTAAAGCGAGGTTTGGGGTGGAGGCTGACAGCTCATGACCCCACAATGTAAAACCTCATGACCCCCTGAGGGGTCTCAACCCCCAGTTTGAGAACCCCTGATCTAAATAGTCTGGTCAATTTTCTTTCTTCGGTTTGTTTGTTTTACTTGTGAATGATAGTCTGCTAGTGTAACATACTAGAGGGAGAGGTTGCAAGAGATTTATTTCTTGACGAGCTAGTAATTTTTAGAGATTTCAGTCACTTAAGCAGTAATCAGTTTCTGTCTTATCCAAAAATTTCAAGGGTATTTCTGGAGCTGAGCCAAAAATAAGGAGAGGGAGGTCCTTTCTCTCAAGATCTCTATTAGGAACTGATTTGCACTCAGCAGAGAACTCTTTTAACTGCTCTGCCAGTTTTAGCTATTAGTGGGAATGGTTACCAATAGTCTAGTCTTTCTTCTACACATTCCCACTGTTAAGAGTCACCTTTTTCAATACAACCTCAAACACCAGCTTTCTGTTCAAAGGGCATAGTTATTGCCTACACTCTCCAGGTATTAAAGATCCATGCACTTTCTTTCCACTGCATAAATTCCTTATGGAATTGAGAAATCATGGCTATGTAAGCTATATGGAAGTTTAAAAAGAAAACAGTATTCCTTTGCTCAAAACTTGATATACTATTTTGTAACTAGTGATATACAACGCAAATAAGCTTCAGCCTAAATAGGACAGAGGTGGGCCAAATCTGGTCCTCCTGATATTTTAAGTCAGCCCTTGAGCTCTCAGCGGGAAGCAGGGTCTGGGGCTTGCCCTGCTCTAGCCACAGAGCAGGGGTGGGGTCTTGCCCCATTGCAGATGGCTCCCAGAAGCAATGGCAAGTCCCCACTCCGGCTCCTACACGTAGGAGCAGCCAGGGGGGTCCACACTCTGCCCCCACCCCAACCACCACCCCTTCAGCTCCCATTGGCTGGGAACCACAGCCAACAGCAGTTGCAGAGGAAGTGCCTGCACACAGGGCAGAGCTGCCTGGCCATGCCTCTGCATAGGAGCCAGAGTTGGGGACATGCTGTTTCTGGGAGCTGTTTGAGGTAAGCACTGCCTAGATCCTGTCCCCTGAACTCCTCCTGCGTCCCAACCCCCTACCCCATCCTTGATCCCCCTCTTGCCCTCCAAACCCCTTGGTCCCAGCCCAGAGCATCCTCCACCCCAACTCCTCAGCCCCACCCCAAGCTGGAGCCCTCCTGCACCCCAACCCCCAATTTCTTAAGCATTCATGGCCTACTATACAATTTCCATACCTAGATGTAGCCCTCAGGCCAAAAAGTTTGCCCACCCTGTCCTAGGGTATTACAGAGACAAGGTGGGTGAGGTAATATGTTTTATTGGACCAACTTCTGTGGGTGAGAGAGAAGCTTTCCAGCTACATCCATCTCTTCAGGTAGTAGTATGGTGTTATGCATCTTTCTAGTAAATGTTATTCTACTCGTTGAAGGCAGGGCTGCACTTGTCTCCAGGCTTTAGTGGGCAGAGTAAAGGGGGACTGGGCTGTATGCTTAACAGGACTGTAGTAAAATACCTAAAAGAAAAAGAGGGGGGAGATTTACAAAATAAAGTATTAATACACGGCATAGCAGTGAGTGGGGGCTGCACGAGCAGTTCGACCCGTATCCCAGGCTGGGAGGTGGCGCCACTGGCGCACGGGGTCACTGCTCACCCCGTCAGCCCGCGTGCTAGGGCCCTGCCCGGCCCCCGCAGCGCGAGGGAGATGGGATTTCTCGCTCCCTGACACTAGCGTGCCGCACCCCCCCTTCCCGTCCTAATGAGCGGGGCTGGGGTGACCCCAACCCCTCATGCGGGCGGCGGGGAGGCTGCTGCGCCCACTGGGGGCCGGGGCGCCCTCCCACAGAGAAACGGCCGGGACCCGCCCTCCTCCTCTCGGGCCGCCCTCGCGCCTTCCAGTTGTTGCTGGTCCTCTAGCCCCCACCGTACTGCGCCGTTTGAACCCTCGCGCGCCCCGTAGCCTCAGAGCGCTAACATGGCGGCGGCGGCGCGCTGCGGTTCTGGTGGGGGTGGAGAACTTCCCGGGGAGTCGGCGCAGGGTGAGTCCGGGGAAGGGGGGAGCTAAGCCGCCCCACGGGGCTCCTGCTGCTGGCCCGGGTGGTGCGGAGCTGGCGAGGAGGAGGCCGGGGCGCGGGGCGGGGCCGGGGGAGCCGGCGGGCTAGGGAGAGGCCGGGGCGCGGGGCGGGGCCGGGGGAGCCGGCGGGCTAGGGAGAGGCCGGGGCGCGGGGTTACTGGTTACCCCTGTTCCGAGCAGCGCTGGGTGACACCGCAGCTAAAACGCCAGCGGCCGTGGGCGCCTTGCTTGTGGCGGGCTCTCGCCCATGGAGCTGAGCCTGGGCGAGCGACGGCGGGAAACTTTAGGGGAAGTTTGTTCCCAGGGTAGGCGAGGCCCGGGCCTGTCTGACGTGTTTTCCTTTCGGTTTGACGTTGCTGCTGTCACCGTGTGAACGCAGCACGGGAGCGAGCCACGGAGCACCGCGTTCGCCTCAGCAGCAGGCGCCAGAGAGCTGCCCGCGCAGGTGTGTCCGTTAAAAGGGGTTGTGACACCTAGTGCCAGATGATCCCTTTGGCTTGTCTGCCTCATGTGAAGCCCAAGTTAGAAAAACAACCCCGCTGACAACTGAGAGACACGTCAGTATGACAAGCTGTTGCGAACCACTTAACCCCGACTCCTGAGGCGGAGGCAGCTGCCTGGGGGAAAAGCCCACTTCTAAGGTGCCTGTCTCCCTCCCTGAAGATACTAGTCATTACCATACAGATTCTCCTGGTGGCTATTCAGGGATACCAGGAAGGATATGCTTGCACCCTGTTGTTCTTCAATATACAGTAACTCCTCACTTAACGTTGTAGTTATGTTCCTGAAAAATGCGACTTTAAGTGAAACGACGTTAAGTCAATCCAATTTCCCCATAAGAATGAATGTAAGTAGGGAGGATTAGGTTCCAGGGAATTTTTTTTGCCGTACAGTACAGTACTATAGTTGGGAGATGTCCTCACCTTATCCCACACAGGCACAGCCCACAGGCACTGGAGACAATGAGGCAGGCCAGGAGGCTGAAGATGCTGTAGGGTAGGAGAAGCACTTTGTGCAGCGGCAGCTTCCCCATCTCTGCAAGCACCAGGGATGAGGGGCTCAACCCTCGGCCCGCCCACGCCACCCCTTCCCCCAAGCCTCCACCCTTAACCCGCCTCTTCTCCCCCCCCCCTTTATTCCGCACACCGTGTCCTCGCTCCCCCTCCCTCCCCTGCCTCCTGAACACCGCAAGCCAGCTGATTGCCGTGGGCAGGAGATGGGGGGGAGGAGGGATAAAGCGCTGAGCTGCGGGGTCTGCCGGTGGGCGGGAGGCGCTGTTGGGGGGGGGGGGGTGTTGGGGAGCTGATTAGGGGGCTGCCAGCTGTGGACAAAGGAGGAAGCCAAACGACGTTATAGCGAAGCATTGCACAACTTTAAATGGAGCATGTTCTGTAATTGAGCAGGGACGTAAGATCGAAACAACATTAAGCGAGAGGAAGTTAAGTGGGAAGTTAATGTACTGTATTGTTCAGACATACTTTTATCAAGTCTTTGATCCATCCATGTCTGACTAAAATCTAGTCAACACACAATACACCAGTTTAAAGGTGCGCTTTTAAACCCATGCAAAATCCTAAACAGACTCTTAATTTTATTTAAACCTTGATTATGTTGGTTTAATTTTCATTAGTAAATCAATAGAAGAGTATTCACACAGGAGTATTTACCAGATTAACTAAAACTTTGTATAATGGCGGTGTTATAGGTATGTTGTTAGCAGTGTTTAATTTTTATTGAAAGGGGTGCCAGGGCTCAAGCAATTGTTTTACATTCATAACTCAGGGATCAGCAATCTTTGGCACGTGGCTCGCCAGGGTAAGCACCCTGGCGGGCCG